AAAGGTCCCAAATGGTTTAAAGATATATTAAATATATTTCTTTAGTAGGTTCGATTCCTACATGGGTCCCTGTAAGAAACAATTTTTATTATTACTTAAAAAATCCCCACTCGAATTGATATATTACGCTTTACACACTTTACAAGAAATTAATTGATTTTTAAAGTTTTTCTTTTTAACTTCAGCTTTCAGAAATTTTTTCATCAAGAGGTCTTTTCATTTAACATTTTTACAGTCTATCATCAACTTTAAATTCTCAAGTCACCAACCATGTGCACGTTATTATTGTTCTCGCTCATTAAAAACCCGAGACTCAGAAAGGTGGTTCAATATATTTTTTATTTTTTGTCTTTTTTATCTTTATTGTCTTTCTTGTTTCTATTATAAACTTTGTAACACTAGTATAAATACAATATCTTAAATATCTTTAAATACCTTTGTTATTAATGGATCTCTTTACGATAAATGAACAGATAAATAGATCAGGTGATCAACTGGATGACTTCGTGTATCATTATCATTATATTGAATCTTTTCTGACTGATCGAAAAAGGAAAAACATTAGGTTCGCTTTTAAAATAATAATAAAAATTTGATCAATTTCACATGATCGTGATAGCTTATCAAAGTAAATCAGGAGGGATAAATGATGACAAAAAATATATGATGAGATATCTCATCAGCATTTATTACTGATCCTGATATTGTTTTTGAATATCTAGAATGTATTACAAATCAGAAATAATTCATTATTGTTGTTTTATTGAACGATAAACCGATAACGAAAAATTAAATTAATAAATAGAAAAAAATAGATAGATGGTTGGATGGGTGAACGGATGGGTGGTTAATTGAACGGGTAAACGAATAGATGGATGGTTTGGTAAGTGAGCGGATGGATGGATAATTCTTTAGGAGATTTGATAAAATAATTTATCCAATTAAAATCGAAGATATGTAAGGTAAAACGGATCTGTCCAATAGGTTAATAATAAAAAATTAATAATAGACAAAATAGGTTGAAGTTTGGTAGGTGAGTAGGCTAATAGGATTTTTCAATAGTATTTATTTTATATTTATTTTTATATTTTTTACGTTTTTATTATTTTATTTAAAAAACATAAAATGAAAAAAATAGAAAACATTGGATAAATAATAACATGTGATAAAGTTCGACTTGGCGCGACTCAAGCTGAACCGCAATTTGACCGGATTGAAGCCAAACCAAACTGACGACTTGAAACCCTCAAGTTGAACCGGTTCGACCCCATCGGTTCGGTCCAGCTTGGACTTAACAACACTTAGAGTTATTGCATTTACTTTATTTACTTTTATTTATTTTTTTATAATGCTAAACTGTAAATTGACAATCCAAACCGTTTAATAAGATAACAGCCAACTATTATACCAGCTTCAACAAAGAATATTGTCATGGTTATTGATAATATATTTAAAAAGATTGGTAGCAATATGGCTAATATCAACCCTACAAATATACAAATAAAAACTAAAAAATGTGAAAATAATGAAGCTTGCCACTTTCCAATGTGATTAATATTATAAAAAATTCGATACCAAAAATCATTGATATTCATCTCACAAAAAATATTTCTGATCTTTTCTCATCATTTTTATAAATGGTTCCACTAAGAACAGTCATCAAAATTAATGCAGCAATATAGACAGCACCAAAAATTCCGTCTCAATCAAGATTCTAGTGAAAAAGGTGTGAAAAAAAATGACGAACGGGCTAAAAGGATTTTAGTAAAAAATTTATAACAAAATACGTATGTCTCTTAGCTAAACATACTGATTTTTCATGTTCAAGTTTTCTTTGTTCCACAAATGCTTGGAGAAAGACAAGTTTTGCTTGATTATTTGGTAAGACGTTATATGCTGGTCTTAATCGTCCTTTCATACCATTTTAGACTTCTTGTTATTTAGCAGTGAAAATAGGACCGCCAGGGACTTCTTGTTGTTCAACATTGAGAATAGGACCACCAGAGACTTCTTGTTGTTCAGCATTGAGAATAGGGACATTTACAGACGAGGGGTTACCATAAGCCATTAATTGTGGGATGTTCAGTGTTTCAAAAGCTTCATAGGTAGATTATATAAAAGGTGGAAATATGATTGAAATATGGTTATTTATAAAAGATGGAAATATGATTGATTTATAAAAGTGAAAATATGATATGTTTCTAAATCATGTCTGGTGATCAAATCCTATAATAAAAAACCTTACCAATCCTTGTACTGTTTCGGATATAATGCTAATTCGAGTTGGGCTATAGTAATTTCGAGTGATATATGAGCGGGTATATAGGGTGATATGGGTGAGAAAAGGTGGTATTTTCAGAAACTTATATGAGTTATATCTACCAATATTTCATGCCTCAAAATCTTTGCCTTAAATATTCTTAAAGATTCATCTCCGGAAAAAATTACAAGCAATATTAATATTCCCAAACTAGACCTGTACTCGTTATGCAATCAAGAACTTTTTTTGTTTGAAATTAAAAATCTAATTACCATATATATTATCACGATTGTATCGAAACTTCTATCAAGAAACGTTCAATATGCCCAAAGCCCGATTGTAAGAAGGAGGTAGAACCTACGGTTGACAGCATGTCTGGAAGTCAGAATATTAATAATCTTATGGATATATTCCCTACACTATTTAACGACCCTCAACTATATTCAAGTTTACCTAAAAAGCGTGCCAGCGAGACCGTCTCTACAGAAAAATCCCCAAGTAAAAAGATTAAAAAGGCCAATGGAAGGAAGGATAAAGATTATCCCATGTTGAAAAAGCTTATTGAGGAACTGAAATCGTCTAATCCCCCAAGTAATACCACATCTCAAACCAAATATATCACGATCCCAGGTAATTTTACTGATTTATATGATGCAATTATTAAGGCTGAGGAGCAAATTGGAAGCACAAATCAAGAAGTTATTAGAGCATATTTTTTGTTTGGAAAGAAGCTTGAAGAGAAGTTGGCAGAATATATAAAAACTAACAAAGAGCGTAAAGCTCAGAGATTGCTTATTAAAGAAGTGTCAGCACAACTACCATCTGATCTATTGAAGAATGCAGTAGAAAAAAGAATAGAAATGGCGAGAAAAATTCGTGATCTGTTTACTACCATTGGTGAGGATAAAATAGAAAGGGTTAAGTCGTATTCAGTATTGCGAATCTCCAAGTTAAGCTGGGATATTGATGCTATAGTAGAGAAATTCAAGGAAGCATAGTTTTGGCGGAAGCTGGCATGAGTTTCCTAGTTACTGCGCCACATTCACGTGATTTTCACTGACCGATCGGTTAACGAAAACCTAAATTGCATCCACCCGATATTTTTTATTCTTTTTCTGACAATTCCTAAATATTACTATGTAACGCATCTGTGAAATATAATAATAACAATAAAATAAAGTTCACCCAAATCTTAGGACTTATGTCTTTTGTTTCACATTTCATAACTTATATATGAAGTCGAGTTTCAAGATCGAAAATGGATTAAAAAAATAGATTATGTGTGGAGATGTAACAATAAAAAACTAGTTCCTATGGTCTTTCAGCCTAACTCTTTATTGATATTATAAATATGTGATAATAATATATATATCGCATAACTTATATAGAAAAATAAAAATAAATGCATGACCTTTAGCTGAAATGTAAGTACTACTGAGGCAAATTATAATATCTATGATTAATTTTTTTTCTCAAACGTGACACTTTTTCAGGTTCACTATTTTAGATAATGCCTATCACCCATTTATATTAGAAAAAAAATAACGTAATACATATACACAAGAGAGTAGCCTATAACTCTTTAAGAACAGTGTCAAAGCTTATCATTAGATCACATCTAAGGGTAATAAATTGGTTCCAATTCATTTTGTACCATATCTCATTATGATTTAAACTCCAATGACATGTATATGGTGCTCTGGTAGGTCGTGTAGGTTGAATAGTTACATGAACCATCATTTCAGTTTCAGGTTTAGGGCAAAAAGGACTTAGTCCAGACACTGGTTGAAAATTGATAAAACATACACATATCAGGTACCCGATATGTGCATGGTGTTTTCCTAATATCGGACATATATCGAGTAGAGATGTGATCCGTAGATGACCAATCCATCAATCTGACGGATTATCTGTGATATCACGGATTGACAGATTACTTTTTAAAAATTTATATAATTCGGATTTAAAAAAAAATAATCCGGATGATTATACCTGCCACCCAAATTCAAAATCCAAATGCCAAAATCCCAAATCCCAAATCCCAATCCCAAATCCCAAATCCA